AAATCACTATAAGACTAATCATGATGCTCTTTTATTCACCAGTTTGAATGGGTTGGGCTTTAGAGTTGTCCACATTCTTCGCCATCTGATTGACAGGTACAAGCCTCGTCATGGAATCACTCCCAGGGAGCTGATTGGAGTTGATGTGCAGGAGTTGCTGCCCCTGGCTGGTGTTCACTAGAATTTGAGTGGTATTCTGTACAGGTACAAACTTGATTTCTGGGGCCTGTTTGTCACTGTTTCCATCTGTTTTTGGGTTTTGAATGGTGATGAGCTGATTCGGCACAATCTGTAAAGTGCCAGATGTGAGAGTTGTTGGTGCGACAGTATGCATGTTCATGGGTTGCTGAACTTGAACCACATTCAGTTTACTATTAGTTACAGTTATTGCACTGTTCGAAGCACCAACTGATTGTGCTAGTTTAGTGACTTGCTGAGTCTTGCTTTTTAATAATGAAACAGATGAAGTAATGTCAGTGGTTGACTTTGAGAAAATGTCCGAGTTGGAACTCTTTGGGCCTACTGAAGCTTCAAACTCTAATCCCCTGTCAGGCATACTTTCAAGTTCCTGGGGAGTCATTAACATGTTATTTTTATCCTCAAATATTGAGACGTCCTTTTCCGAAATACTTGTACTGCAACCAGTAGACTGGGATTGAGAAAATATAGAAGCCATACTGGAATTAGACCCAGAGATTCCTCCAGAGCTTGCGGTCGACAACAGGGACCCATTTGTCCCTCCCAGCAGCAAACTTGACGTTTCCAATGGAAGGACTGATCCCTCAGCACATAGTGGCAAATCTGTCGTGTCCGAGAGCGATGTACCGAACAATTCAATTCCATCGTTGCCACTTGTTGGAATGTCAAAATCTATAGCCTCTATATTTCTGCATCGCGACTTCAACCATTCTGTATTGTTTTCAACTACAGCCCTTTCGTAACTATCTAAATCTACGTCCGATGGCGATGATAGAAACTGTAAGTTGTCGCCATTTTGTATTCCTTTTTGATGTTCAACAAGTTGGTCTTCCGTGAGAAGCTCGTTTTTAATTGAGAACGCATCTGGTAGATCAATGTTTACATCCAGACCCGGCACATGTGTACTACATTGGGGGCCGCCATGTTTTACGTTCACTAGACCCCCTTCATTCGACATGTCAAAGCCCCATTCACGTATTTCTTATGGGGTTCGCCATTACAGTTCAGAGCGCAAGGTACCCTGACGTCACCGGATATGGTGTAAAATTCGTAATATGTGCAAATTAAAATGGCGGGAATGTATTCATTTTTTTTATGCCCCGATATGAGTATGGCCGGGGCATATATAGTGTTTGTCATGTCCGTCTTCCGTCTTTCCATCTGTCACACTTTTTGAAAGAAACTTCAACATATTTTTATCAAGGTGAAACCTTATAGACTTTCAGGCTATGCTGGATAGGGCAATTCAAAAATGTTTGACTTTGACCTTGACCTCACTTTTCTTAAATCTGTGCATGTTTAACTCAGTTTCTAAGAAACTATTCAAAATATTTTTATCAAACTTAATTCATATGTCGATACATATATTGATGAGATCTTTTCAACTATATCAGCATTTTTTTTTTACCTTGGCCTTTCCTCTAGTCTTGACCTCACTTTTCTTAGTTGTGTTTAGATCAATTTCAAAGAAACTATGCAAGATGTTTTTATCAAACTTCATATGTTAATATATACATATTAGTGAGATCTGTTCACCTGCATCAAATATGTTCGCCTTTGACCTTCCCTGTGACCTTGATCTCACTTTTTAAAAAAAAAATGTTTAGATCAGTTTAAAAAAAATATATTCAGGGTATTTTATGTATGTTTATTCACTGTTACATATATAATTTGGTGAAAATTTCAATTATGTCCAATTTCTTTTACCTCGACCTTTCCTTAACCTTTGGTTTTGTTTCGGATGATTTTCTTTTTATTTTATTTCTTTAATTTTCTGAAACGATGATCTGCTGATTATTATGCTAACAGCTTACGCATTTTTCGGCGGTGGTTCCTGAACTACATTTTCATCAGCGTACACCCCTCTTTTCCGGCCATTTGATCATAGGTTTAAAATTTCAGAACAGTGCAACAGAGGCCTACATGAAGCTATAAAGGATGACTGCACTTAAGGAAATGCGAAATTTGCGACAAAATAAACTTTCAAAACAAACATTTTTCTTTTCATTGCAATAATGGTCAACATTCAATCTACAACTTTATGTAATTACGTTTAATAGAAGTGTGTACGAGGGTTGTTAGAAAAGTTCGCGGACAAGTCCTATTGCGAGCGCGCTATTTGCATGAATTCATTAAATCTCTGCAGGTAAAAACTATAAGTATTTTCAAATTAATCTGCAAAAATTTGGTGTTTCCGATGATCTTTAAAAAATATGTAGCGAAATTATTTAGATAAAACATGCTTAACGGAGCATGTTACTTTTTCGAACTTTTACATTTCAGAGACATAATTTTGAAATTAAAGATTGCACTATTGTAGCGCATAACAATTTATGATATTTCACCTCTCGCTAAGATATTCATAAAACGTCATCTGACGAAATTATGAATTAAACTGGAGGAGTTATGACGGTTTTATCATTAATTATAGATGATCAATGCGTAAAAACAAAGCTAAAAAATGGTAACGTCATTGAACATCTTGGAGCACTGAGCTATTAAAAAATTTTGTGTGCAGACAGGAAAATGCCCGAAAGAGACTAAAATGTTTTTAGATGCTGCTGGGGATACCAAAGTGTTCAAGTGGTAACAACTTTGTAAGAATGGAAGGATGGACATTTTTAATTATAGACTTCTGCGATACTCCAATATCCTGCTCATAGAATGGGCGTTGCGCCTATGGATTTTGCATTGTTTCTCAAATTTTATCGCTGAACTTTGGAGACATTGTTTTAAAGATCTCGCTAATGTCCGATACGCCACAAAAGATATTTAAAAATAGATAACATGTCTTGATATACTTATTCAATTTTCAAGTCAAAAAAAGATATGAAAAGTCTATAGAAATGAAAGATATTTAGAACTGTGAAAAAGCTTCACAGGTCTAGAATCAGGTTGTCGCGTCATCTAACGTCATAAAACGTTAAGTGATTGCTCCGTGAATCCTATATGACCGCGCAGTAAAAAATCAACGTATATTTTCAAACTCTTAGTAAATGGACATGATCTTTTCCATACTCATAAACAAAAGATAAGAATTTAATAAGACATACGTCATTCTTCAAAGTTTACAATATATTTTCCCCAAATCAACGTGCCCGCGAACTTTTCTAACAACCCTCGTATTTACGAAGTTCGAATCTGTTTTCAAAGGCAGGGGTCATCACAATTTCTTGAATCTCCGTTCGATAATGAGGACGCCCACTTTTTTACTGACTTTATACATAGTCAGCGCATGTTTGTCTATTGTTCTACGTTTAACAGTAGTTGTATATTTGCATAAATAACAATGTGTCAAAAGGAGATTAATAGACAAACATGCGCTCATGGTTAAAAAGAGAAAAAAACTGCTTCTTCTTACATGCATTCGCTCTGTGTGTTGTAACCATAGATTGTGACTTGTTGAATATTATAATTCACCACGTGATTTCTTACCTCAGGTAACTTTGTGAATACTATATTCCGTCACGTGACTTGTAAGGTAGCATGTTTTGTGCTAACTAGGACATTGTGTTCGAACACGTTAAGTCATCTGGCATTGATATAAAATCTACTTTAATCACATTGACGTGCTCATATTGTTAATTTCGTTTTGAAACATTTGTCAGAAGTGTGTTTGTTCCATACAGAATGGAGAGAGAGATTGGAAAGAGTGATCAAGTTCTTTTTTCCAAATATGTTATTTATCAAGTTTAATTTTAGACCCATTCTTACAATGTTAGCTCCACCTCTCATGCATATGTAATGTTCAATCAAGGGCAGGGAAGTGTAAATTCACTATATTTGGAAAGCAGTAAGGACAAAAAACATTGAATCATTTTATTGTATCACAGTCTAAAATCATTTTAAGATTTAAATTTGGTTCCAAATTGACAGGATTCTTTCATAAACGTACAAAAGTGAAATAAGGTTTAGATATAAAAGCAACAGAAGCAACCGAAAAGGACCCATGCAAAAACAGGCGTTAAGTGCAGTCATCCTTTCAAGGAATGTCTTTCGAATGAAATGTGAAGTATAAACGAATGAATGTATGACATGGCCGTAGGAATGGGGGGGGGGGGGGTCCCCCAATCATTTTGGGACTGTTGAAAACATAGCTACTATATACTTGTGCCCCCTCAATAAAAACGTCTGATGATTTTTTTTTTTTTGTTTGTTTGTTTTTTTTTTTTTTTTTTTGCTTGTCAAGGAATTTTTGGTAGTTGATAGTGCCCCCAACTGAAAATGTATTGCTGCCCCCCCCCCAAACTGAAATTGCTTCCTACGGGCCTGTATGAGATTTTATGTTTTGACAAGCATTTCTCATCTCATCCTCGCAAGCCAGGGGTCCTGAGTCAACACGTTGGCGTTGGACCAACGGCAACGTGTTGACTCAGGACCCCTGGCTTGCGAGGATGTTCTCATCTCAAACATGTCAAACTGCTATATTAAATTTTAAATTATATGCATTTTATGATGCGACATACTGTAGACAAATAAGGAGCAACAACAAATAACACTGCAATATTTGTTTAAAAGTATTTTTTTTGTATAAAATGTATTGTGAAAAAATAAAATGACAACTTGGTTATGGTCACTACTTTAATTTGGAGAGACAAAGAGGAAGAGTTTATTTATTTATTTATTTATTTATTTATTTATTTATTTATTTATTTATTTATTTATTTATTTATTTATTTACATTTTTCATATTTAAAAAAATGATAAAATTCCCGTAAAATATTATTTTATTCTTGTTATAAAATGTATTTCTGGTGTTTTCGTACTGAATCGAAATTTCAATCGGGTTCGAGGTGCATTACTTTCCTCATGGCGGAAAACTCAAGAATAAGATTTTTCAGAGAAGTCGTTGTTCCCTCGAATTCAGGGTCAAAATGGAAAGAATGCCACATCAATACAGGTAATACAATCATTCAGATATTAATTACTTTGGTCAATTGATGTATTTGTTGATATTCTCAAGAGAGTCGGTGTGAATAGTTCCCGGCATTATCTCTTGCCTAGGTTTCATTTTCAGTGTAGAAAAGTACTGTATGATTGATTAGTCAACATGTAGCGTTTTTTGTTTTGGAAAGAACTAATTCAAGGCAGTCCAAATGAAAAGCAAAATATTTTCATCGGAAGACAAACAAACATGGAAAAGCATTAACAATCATGAATGCATTGAAGATGAGTAGCATTGCACAGGCACTTGTTTCTTATACATGGCACCCCTTTTTTTCTTTCCACAAGGTACCTAACTCAATTTCAGACACCCCCACTTCAAACTCGTATTTCATTAATTTGTCGATCATCTTCATTAACCTACTTGAACAAGACATAGTTCACTTCAAGATACTTGTTTCTTTTCTAATGAATTGTTATGCACACGTCCTTCATCAAACCTCTTAGCATTTCTACTGAACACTAGGGGGAGGCAAAGAACGATAACTCTAACTTAGCGGAAGTTGTGACCTGTTGATTTTATTTGCTCGTGAGTTGGCAAGAATACACCGTGTCGCGAATTTTAGTTGTAACACTTCCCTGGTGTATGACATTGTCCTAACAAGGTAAATATAATTTCTGTAGGTTCATAGAAAGCTATTTTTACTAAGATTTAATCAATTATAACTTGAAATGTTAACAAAAAAACAATTTAAATGCATGTGCTATGAATTCGTCAAACAGAAAAAATTATTTGCAAAGGTATTTCTGCCTGCTTCAAGTTGCATCACTGATAAAAAGTTGCCAAATATAATTAGATGTTTTTATGCAAAATCGCAGTTTGAACAGAGGTTGCAATTTTTGTCACTCATTTTTTAAGTATATTGAAGCGGTGTTTTGGTGTTTGATTACCTCCCTGTTGTTTGATGATAGTTTTGTTCTATATACATAACATATTTTCACGTTAGGTATGTTCTATGCATTTTCATTACTTTAAATAATGGCAACATCTGCTTATGGATAATATCATATATAGTGAATAAGTTTATTTTAAATGCACAACATTTTTTTGATGTTCTGTGTTATGCTATACTAGTACATATATGTACAACGAAACTGGTTATAGATAGGAGTTATCCTTCCTAACTGAAAATTCATCTTTGCTGTCAGGTTAGATTATTTCCATTGAGTCACAGATCGCTGTGTAAGGTAGGCTGTACATATAACTTGATTTTATGAAATCCAGAAGGTATTGAAGCAAATTTCATTTAGAATCTACAATTATATGGAGATAGAATAATGAAAACTGACATTTGACCTTATAATCTTTTAATTTAATTTTTAGCTCACCTGAGCTGAAAGCTCAAGTGAGCTTTTCTGATCACCCGTTGTCCGTCGTCCGTCCGTCCGTCCGTCTGTCTGTCCGTCCGTCCGTCTGTAAACTTTTCACATTTTCAACTTCTTCTCAAGAACCACTGGGCCAATTTTAACCAAACTTGGTACAAAGCATCCTTGGGTGAAGGGGAGTTTAAATTGTTAAAATAAAGGGCCAAGCCCCCTTCCAAGGGGAGATAATCAAGAAAAGACAAAAATAGGGTGGGGTCATTAAAAAATCTTCTTCTCAAGAACCACTGGGCCAGAAAAGCTGAAACTTATGTGAAAGCATCCTGGGGTAGTGTAGATTCTAAATTGTTCAAATCATGACCCCCGGGGGTAGGGCGGGGCCACAATAGGGAATCCAAGTTTTACATTGAAAAATGTAGAAAAAATCTTTAAAAATCTTCTTCTCAAGAACCACTGGGCCAGAAAAGCTGAAACTTATGTGGAAGCATCCTGGGTTAGTGTAGATTCTAAATTGTTAAAATCATGACCCCCGGGGGTAGGGCGGGGCCACAATAGGGAATCCAAGTTTTACATTGAAAAATGTAGAAAAAAATCTTTAAAAATCTTCTTCTCAAGAACCACTGGGCCAGAAAAGCTGAAACTTATGTGGAAGCATCCTTGGGTAGTGTAGATTCTAAATTGTTCAAATCATGACCCCCTGGGGTAGGGCGGGGCCACAATAGGGAATCCAAGTTTTACATTGAAATATGTAGAAAAAATCTTTTAAAATCTTTTTCTCAAGAACCACTGGGCCAGAAAAGCTGAACCTTATGTGGAAGCATCCTGGGGTAGTGTAGATTCTAAATTGTAAAAATCATGACCCCCGGGGGTAGGGCGGGGCCACAATAGGGGATCCAAGTTTTACATTGAAAAATGTAGAAAAAAATCTTTAAAAATCTTCTTCTCAAGAACCACTGGGCCAGAAAAGCTGAAACTTATGTGGAAGCATCCTGGGGTAGTGTAGATTCTAAATTGTTCAAATCATGACCCCCGGGGGTAGGGCGGGGCCACAACAGGGAATCCAAGTTTTACATTGAAATATGTAGAAAAAATCTTTAAAAATTTTCTTCTCAAGAACCACTGGGCCAGAAAAGCTGAAACTTATGTGGAAGCATCCTGGGGTAGTGTAGATTCTAAATTGTAAAAACCATGACCCCCAGGGGTAGGGCGGGGCCACAATAGGGAATCCAAGTTTTACATTGAAATATGTAGAAAATATCTTTAAAAATCTTGTTCTCAAGAACCACTGGGCCAGAAAAGCTGAAACTTATGTGGAAGCATCCTGGGGTAGTGTAGATTCTAAATTGTTCAAATCATGACCCCTGGGGTAGGGCGGGGCCACAATAGGGAATCCAAGTTTTACATTGAAATATGTAGAAAAAATCTTTAAAAATCTTCTTCTCAAGAACCACTGGGCCAGAAAAGCTGAAACTTATGTGGAAGCATCCTGGGGTAGTGTAGATTCTAAATTGTTCAAATCATGACCCCCGGGGGTAGGGCGGGGCCACAATAGGGAATCCAAGTTTTACATTGAAATATGTAGAAAATATCTTTAAAAATCTTGTTCTCAAGAACCACTGGGCCAGAAAAGCTGAAACTTATGTGGAAGCATCCTGGGGTAGTGTAGATTCTAAATTGTTCAAATCATGACCCCTGGGGTAGGGCGGGGCCACAATAGGTATTACAAGGGGAAATCGGGTGAAAAACAGCAAGGCCAAAGTTACTCAGGTGAGCGTTGTGGCCCATGGGCCTCTTGTTAGGAAGAAGTGCTAAACCTCTTTGTTGTAAACCACTCATTTATTCCTCAAAAAGGAGATGGGCTAACATAGCGTGCAGAAAGCCTATAGCTTCAGAAGTATAAAAATCATGTTCAGTTTGTGAATTTAATATTTAGAGTAAAGTTCTCATTATTGAAATTTATGAAATCATGATAAACAAAACTTTTCTGAGGAAAATTTTCTCGGCAAAATTTATTCTTTTATTAAAAAAACTAATATGGTATTCGTGGAATTCGAACCCTAGCAACAAAAATCCTGAGTATCATTTTCTTTCGAGACTAGCACGCTAACCACTAGACTAAAGAAGTCCTGACGAACAGTGGCATTTAAATCATGTTTGTGATATGACCCTTGACCTAATGGACTTGAAGTATTTCTCAAAAAGATGTGAATGTTATGTCATAAAAGTATATTTTTAAGGTAAAGTGGGTCATTGTTCCATATTTTTGGTAACCAAAAAATGTATATTTTTATGCAAATTTTGAGGATTAACTTTCAAAAAGGTGGAGCGAAGACCCACTCATATCGAAAAATAGTGTTATAGTATGAGAAAATGACTCTTTTTGCCCGCTTTAGTGTGTGTCTAATATTTCACAGGTAAATAATTTCCATCTTTGAGGGATTTTTGCAAATTGTAGAGATTTTACATAAAGTATATTTTAATGTTAGACGAAATATGAAGGAAAATTTTGATACAATTGAAATTTATTTTTTCATTTTCATGTTTGTCACACTATAGGCTTATTGCTCATCATGTCAACCCATCTCCTTTCTAAGCACATTTTAAGACTTTATAGAAGATAATCAACTTCAGGTTAGGCTTATCATGCTTATAGTGTAGGATAAAACCAGAGACTACTGAGCTTTTCATTCTGAAGTCTCTGGGTTAATGATAATGATAAAATAAGAGTTTAAATTTGGGGTGTCTGAAATTGAGTTAGGTACCTTGTGGAAAGAAAAAAAGTAGGGGGTGCGCTGTATATGACACAAGTGCCTGTGTGCTCTTGGTTCAAATATTAATATCAATTCTCTGTAAGGACCAAAATTTTACTGTAGGGCTGTGGCACACACCATGAGCGATTTTCATGAAACTTTTTCAGGTGATTAATGCCCATATATTATGACATAATCAACATTCAAAATTAAGGTTACTACCTTGGTTGCCATGGTAATGGGCTAATATAGATTTTTGCCCCATTTACTCTCAATTCAAGCATAAAAATGCTATATACTTGATTTCATGTGGTTTAATCATCTTTATTATTTTGAGATAATTCATACACTAAATGAATAGAACAAATGAAGCACTATATAACACAATAAAAAAATTCCACAAGTCACTGCAAATTCTTCAATTGATGACTCAAAGATGACCAAATTCTTACATTTTGAAAATGGTCATTTTTACCCTATATTTCAAGAAGTCTTTCAAGAAATGCAGGCAATTTAAGAAAAAATCACCAGAAATTTTAGAAACACCATAATAATATTAGTTAACTTTTATGAAAAGTAGAGTGGGGATTTTTTTCGTTTTCGGTATTTTTAACTTCGAAAATTGGCATTTTGCCAAATAATATTTTTTTCAAAATGTTACTGGACACTGGTTGTTTTATAAAATTTCTTTTCCAAACATTTTTCTCACGAATAGATAAGACAAATGGAATGATAAGTAAATATTATTAAAGATAATAAATAAGATACAACAAAATTAAATGAATTATTATTGTTTCTCTATGATCCTTTACAAAGGGCAGGTAACTCAAAATCTAAAGAAAATTAGCTATTCAACTTTTCACTGGAACTTATTTCAGTAAAC